GCTAAGCACATCCCCGCGCATACAGCCGGGACGAATTTGGACGAGTCGACTCCGGGCATACCATGGACTATAAAGGGCCCGCCACACAAGTGGCGCTACTGCACGCTGGGGTCGCAACCCGGGGACGAGGCGGCCGTTCCGCTGTCCGCCCAGACATCGCCGGACGCGATCATCCGCACGCTGCAAGACGAGCTCTTCCCGTCCTCTGCATTCCGCGCGTGGCTCGCCAACGTGAGCTCGATGCTCCCTCTGAGGTGGGACGCCCAGGCGAGGCGATTCAGACCCGGTCTGGACTACACGCTCGCGACGAGCGAGGAGAACGAGGCGCGGTTGGATGTCGTGCTGGGGCTGACGCCTGATGTGACCGCTGAGGAGACGGACAAGAAGAGCGGAAAGCGGAAGAAGGTCGAACCTGAAGAGGCCGGGGAGGGTGGATGGCAGAGCGGGGAGTGGGGTGGATGGGAGTGTTATATGGCGCCGCATGAGGGGGAGGATGATCCTGCTGTATATCGGTCTGGGTCGAGCAAGAAGCGTGCAGACCCGCCGCCTCCGCCTGCGAAAGATGCTAAAGGGCGTGCAAATAAGGACGAGGCGCGGGCGAGTGGTAGCGGGGACGGTAAAGGGAAAGGCAGGAGGGCAGCGAGTACAAGTTCGGACGAGACTATGCATACCGAAGAGGATGGGGACGAGGGTGAGGGCGAAAACGAGGGCGACGATGATGATGAGGAGGAAGATGATGATGATGACGACGAAGACGACGGGACTCTACTGACAGTGCAGCCGGGGTTCAACAGGCTGTTGCTTGTGCTGAGAGACGAAGGCGTAATGCGGTTCGTGAAGTATGTATCGGCTGCAGCGCAGGGCAGTCGATGGGACGTGTGTGCTGAATATGAAGTGGGGATGATTGAGGAAGACGAGTAAATGACGGTGTATGTGGGTGGTTACTGTAGCGTTATTGATGTAGTGAGCCGTTGTACTCTTGTTTGTTGTGTGCACGCATAATTGACACATTACTCTCCCGACGTGCAAGTATCAGAAAGGTAGCTATTCAACGCATATAATGTGCGATAGAGCCCTAAGATTAAAACACGATCTTTGTTCCCTGACTTGGGACTATCGACACATCCTCCCTCTTGGCATTCGCAAGAGCCGCACCAGGTTTCGCCCGCACCCTGGGTGCTCTCGCGTTCCCCTCCCTCCTCTCTCTTGTTCTATGTACCCGGGTGCCCTCAGCCTCAGCTTCCCCATCGTCATCCTTCCTTCTCCTCTTAGTAGGCTGCTCTTCCTCCCCATCCTCTCCGGCACGTTTCCGCACCGGCCTCACACGCTCTCTTCGCGGCTTGTCACCAGTCTCGTCGTGACCTCCAGCGGCGGGCGGTCTGCCTTTGCCCTTGTCACCGCGCGATCCTGCGCCACCCCTGCGGACGGCCTCGGGCGAAGCATACTCGACGACGAGTTTCCTACCATCCAAGAAGTGGTTGCGCTGGTTCGTGAGCGCAGCGGTGGCTTGCTCTGTAGTTTTGAAATCCACGAACGCCCATCTTCGCATAAGAATTAGCCTCATCGCATGGAGAGGTATGACATGTAAAGTGCTCACCCTTTGCACTTTCCGGTGTCCTCAAACGTGCCCAAACGGATCTTGCGTATCCAGGATGTATCCCGCTTTTTCTTCTCATCTGTAGGCTGCGTCTGCTCTTCGACCTCCGCAGGTGGCTCATCGGCAGCCTCTACCTTCTTTTCGCGGTGGCTCTCGAGCATCTCGCGGATAGACTGCTCGGTAGTTTCGAACCCGAGGTTACCCATGAAGAGTGTAGGGCCCGGAGGCTGCTTTTGAGTTGCGAGAATCTTTTGGGCTGTTTTAGAATGACCAGTTGGCTTTTTGTCCGCCGCGGCTGTCCCGTCTGCGGCTTCTGGTTGGGTCGAAGTCGAGGGCCTACCAGCGAAATCATCTCCTGAGGGTGTCGATAGTAGTGAGTAGTGGGCTATACTGATGAAGAACACTAAGACGGACCGTCTTTGATCAAGAGCCGTCTACCCTCTAAGGGATTCTCGGTCAAAGTGATTGCTAGAGTTTTGGCGTCGGGCGTTGCAAAGTCGACATACGCAAATCTGTTTCAGGTGAGCACATACGTGGATACGCGTCGAGCCATATGGGATGAGAATATCGAATGGAGGTAATGCAGAGAGTCACTAACCCGCGATTCTCCTTCACAGTACCGCGTCCTCCTGGTCCTGCGCTCGCCAGCTTCATAGGCATATGTAGACGAGTGATCTCCCCGACACCATCGAAGAAAGAGCGCAATGCTTCTGCTGTAGTTTTGAAGGCTAGATTGCCAACCCATACTGAATTTTGTCGTTTGGGTACCTTGGACGGTGGGAGTTCAGCAGTGTTCTTAACTTTGGCAGACTTGTCTTTAGATGCATCAGTTCCGGTTGCTTTGGCTTTTTCTGCTTTCAACTCTTTCCGTTTTGCCCTTCGCTGCTCGGCATGAGATAGGACTGGAGCATCATCTTCTGCGGGCTGCGCTTCGTCCTCCTCGTTCTCGGAATCACTGGAATCAGAAGATTCATCAGAATCAGGCTCGCTTTCGTGTTTCTTTTGAACAAGCTTTCGTTTTGTCCCCTTCGTGGGCTCGGAGTCGGAAGAGGACGAGGAGGTTGCGGTCGAAGCCATGGTTTTCCTGGAGGCAATATTTTCGAATCTCGATCACAGAATGAGTCGCGGACTGTGCCGAGCCAGATCGCGATTTGCTGGACATCAGTGATCTGTGAAAGCAAGCGTTGAGTTGGTCCTTGCAGCCGTCTATACGGTCCTTCTCGGTGCAGATTACGATGCATCAGCTACACCCAGAGCTACAGTTCGTTGACGACAGGGTCAAAATCGCAAGAGATGAACAAACTACCCCCTCGGCAGGACGGGGAGCTGCGCAGGCGGTGCTTGGGAATCATCGCGATAGTTCTATGATAGTCCGTAACAATGAACCCAGGTGCCGTGACAATGAGCTCAGAGATATTGTTCAACACGACCCTGCAACGTTGCAGGTCCATTCCGCTCGTGGTTCTCCAAGTCATCTTGCCTCCTCCGCTTTATCTCTCCCTTCGCCACCATCTCTCTCTCGAGCCCACTTTGGATTGCCCTGTACCCACGCAGCGGTATATTAGTATAGTCATCGCTTGTGCACGGTCAGCTGGCCGACATACTTGCATCTCGTCCCCTCCGCCCAGGGTTAGCAAGAGGACATCGTACAGCCTCCAACGAAGGTACAAATCGGCCCTAACAGCACACGGCGTCCATTCTATCTTGTGTTATCCCTCCCATAAATGCCCTCGGTGAGTCCGACGATTACAACAAGTCTTGGTGTATCAATTCTCATCCTTAAGCACAGGCGGAAGTCACGATATCTCGGCTGGACAAACTATACCTTGCAAAGGTAGCTGATCAAGCGGAACGATATCGAGGTGCGCCTGCCCGGATATACATCCCGTATGACTGGAGCCCTAACCCAGCGCTGTGCTCAGATGTTGTTACATCCATCAAGTCACTCATAACTTCACCGGACGAGCAACTAACCGTCGAAGAACGCAACCTCTTATCTATAGCCTTCAAGAACCTCACCGCACAACTTCGGAATCAATGGCGTACTATTGACACGTTGGAGAAGAAAACAGCGTCGCGGTCGGCGCCACAGCAAGTTGCACTTATGCACCTGCAGAAAGAGCGAATACGGAGGGAGCTTGACAGCGCCTGCATGGAGATCGTTGAGCTTCTCGAGAAGTACCTGATCCCTTCAGCTAGTGCTGGAGAAGAGAAAGTCTTCTATAGCAAAATGTAAGCCACTTCATCCTGACATGGCGATGCGCATCCTTACACCATTACTCCTACAGGAGAGGCGACTACTACCGGTACCTTGCCGAGTTCACAAAGGACCAACCCGACGACAAGAACGCCTCCTCTTCTCTCGACGCCTACAAATTTGCATACAAACATGCCCTCACGACTCTCGATCCCACTCATCCCACGCGGTTGGGGTTGGCACTCAACTTTGCTGTCTTCTATCACGATATCTGGGATAGCCCTGAACGGGCATGTTATCTCGCAAAGCATGCGTTCGACGAAGCAATCGCAGCTGCTTCGGAGATGTCTGCTGGACAGGCATTGGAGGATTCACTGACTATATTACAACTACTGCGCGATGATATGTTACTGTGGAAGGGAGAGATACAATAGGTACAGTAGGATTAGCAATTCATATTCAGACTTCATCTTTACGAGTGGGTTGAAGCACTGCACGCAATGGCTAAGATTTCTCTACGGTTTGATCAGATTGTGGATATCAGTGAGAATTGAGTGACCCTGAGGAGACGCAATTGGGCGGAAGCACATTAAGCTGTCCCTGACAGTAAATAGGCAACAGAGAAATCACAAGACAATGAGGGAAAAAATGACCACCGCAGGGGTCGAACCTGCAATCTCCTGATTACACAATCGTAGTCAGACGCGATGCCATTTCGCCAGGCGGCCTGAGCAGAAAAGCCTTCTGGTTAACATATCAGTTGTCTGTGTGGACTCCGTCATAGCACAATGAGAAGTTGTTCTTCATGTAGTCATTTCAGAAAACCTTGCAAAGTGCCAGTATTTTCCTAAGCGTTTCCAGTATGGAAATTTCCATATTTGGAATGTTCCTTGATGGGCACTTTGACTTCCTGCAGGTGGTTGTGCACTATAGTTTGCATATAGACCAGTCTGTTTGCATACTACAGCTTTGATTTTGCGGATGAAAATGCTCCTTCCACAATTGAGCATGATGAGAAGTTGTATTCACCCAAGTAGAGTATAGTCCCAAGTGTGATTGACCAATGTCAAAACTTAATTACATATAAAACTGAGTAATGTACTGTGTATCCAGTAAATTCACTCTGTTTGAAGTGCAAAAATCACTATGGATAATGAACTCATGTGCGTTACATATATAGTTACTTCTATTTGTGCTTCAACATGTGGCTCAATGGTCTAGTCGTATGATTCCTGCTTTGGGTGTTACGCCGTTGCAGGAGGTCTCGGGTTCAATTCCCGATTGAGCCCTTTTTTGTTTACGTTGTGAAACTCTCTACGGCACACATGGATACCCGGGCAAACCACAAAACATAGATACAAGAGTAATCATGTCTTTATAGTTACTTTCAGGTGTACATCGATCTACATTCAAGTTGTGGATTCCGAGACAGGCCCACAAAGGACCAGTGCCAAGAACAAGCCGTATTCACCTTTCGGTGTGCCTTACTGCAGATCCGATGGTATGCTGTCTTAGCGGCAATCTGCCTTTCTGCACAATTAGCTGTCTATCTGCTGTCGTTGACATCTGGGACCACCCGCCTGTCGGAAGTTGGGAGGTAATGAATACATCGACAATCGCATAAGAGAAGCATGACTCGCCCTCAATCGCCGTCCAGCATCCCATCGTGTCTATCGTCCAGTATGGATAGTCGAAACAGCGTCCTTTCGACTCTTCTCGTCGTAGTGGTTGCGTTCTCCACTGTGGCAAGGGCAGATACAGTCCCAGTTCAAAACTGCGCGGCGATATGCCCTGCTCTCGACATCGAGAATAACCGGCTCTTTGCGACTTACCACGACACCCCGCACGGTTCGATTGACTGTTACTACACCTACACGGCCTGCGAGGATCAAGAGCACATATGCACATATGCGGTTCGTGTAGCAGTCCGACCTCGATGTTGGCGCTATTGCTGACCATCGTGTTGACACAATAGCTGAACGGCACTTTCGTCCGTGCTGCCGATGAAAGTGAATGCGAGCTCGGCTCGTTCGCGTGTCCGACAGGTGCACCTGTCCAATGTACGCTGCCACCACAAGTCACCTGCCAAGTAACATGTCCCGCGGTCGACGGCAACGGCAAGGCGTTAGGATATAATGTCTCTTATCCTAATTCGGGGCCACCAGGTGGTATTTTGGATTGTGTATACCCGACCTACCTGGGAGATGGGAGCCACGACTGCCAATATTATCTCGTGAGTCAGCTGGCTACGTCGGGAGGTGAGATTCACTCACCATGTACTGGGGGCACTTCTACCAGACCGACGGGAACCTATACTGGCCTGCAGGCTATTACGCATGCCCTAATGCTGCAAACGTTGTGTGCACGACCAGTAGCGTATCTTCTCCTGAGGCGGTGAAGACGGCTTGAAGAATCTTTGGGACTTTACTGTAATTAAGATCTTAAGGGTGAGAGCGGTCTTACTGCGTATTCCATAGAAAGAACAAATGTACTTACAGTGCGAAACACTTGCTTCAAAGAAGGCGAAAGTATGACGGAGAACGAATGCCACTACAGGACTGGGTATAATGGATGATAGGCTAACGATACACAGCGGAATGGGGAGAGATAATACTACAGAGACTAGGTCCTTGAGCGAGCCTTAGATTTAGTGTTCATGGATGATGGGGGAGGAACAACAGTACATGTGAGTAAGAGTGCGGGGAAGAAGTTGGAAAGAGCCCATGAGTGATCATCTGGAAGACGAGCGGCAATACAACAGCTTTAGTAGATAAGAGAAAGACGATGTGGAATAGATATACACGATACGGTTCAACAGAGCAGTACGACAGTGCGGGATATAGAGATATATGATACAACTGTGAAGTCAAATGAGGCGTCAGTTTAGTTATGATATGCAGAAGTCGGGAGAGAGACGTGACGTACCGTATAAAGTAGATGGACCGTACGCGCACAGAAAACCCTTTGCAACGGTGACCACCGAAAGAAAAGTAGAAGGGAAAACGAGATGACCTCAAAGCCCCATACGCTCAGCCAACGTCCGGTCAGCGCTGGAATACGAGTTAGCATTGCTCCCACGGCGAGGTCGACGATTGCCTCCGCCACCTCCGCCACCACCTCCAGGCCCTGACCCGCCGGTGCCACCAGAACCTCCATACGCACCATTTCGTTTTGAAGACCGATCGGGATCGCGTGCGCGGTCACGATCTCTGTCGCGTTCTCGGTGTCTGTCGCGCTCACGGTCTCTGGGACGCGCATGCTCACGGTCGCGATCGACGTTCCTTTCTTTCTCTCGGTCCCGATCGAAGTCACGTTTACGTTCGGGTGGAGGTGGTGGTGTACGTGCGCGGTCGTCTTCGTCAATGTCCATCTTGCCTCTCCGTTCGGGGGGCACGCTTGGCGAATGATCTGGCGTATCGCGACGTCTCGTAGCATTGCTCTGAGAGCGACCGCCTTTCGAGTGCTGCGGAGCGGGTGTAGATGAAGGCGCCTCGGACAACCGCGGCTTCTTGTGAGCACGAGGAGCTGTTGGCGGGGGCTTACCACCACCATTGCCGTTGGTAGGTGAGTGATGTTGCACAGGGAGTTGATGGTTTGTTCGCAGTGTAGGCGAGTGAGAATGTGCACGGAAATCATCGTGCGGGTTCGCACGTCCGCTAGCAAGAATCGTAGCTTGTGACTTGTCTAATTCCTCACTAGAAAGCCATGAGCACACGGATATAAGAGCTAGAATGATAAACGTACGACAGTGACTCTATGACCTGATGCGCCTCTGCAGAAAACGGTGTCATTAGACTTGCACCATGGAATATGTGAGCGTCTTGACACACCTTTGAGCGCTCCCTCCAACTTCTGCGAAACTCTGCGCAAAGAACGAATATCCTCTTTCAGTCTTCCGGTTTCGCCAGACTTCAAAAGCTCATAGAGTTCATCGTTCTCTTCTTGAAGGACTTTCACTCTTTGGGTCAGAGCTGCCGCGACCGTGTTGGATGACGATGTGGCTGTAGAGGAGCGGTTGCTGATATGTGGGAGTAGCAACGACACCAGCGGAGGTGGAAGGGAAATGGGTTCCGCAACAGAAGGTGTAGCTTGTGTGGGTAGATACTGTCGCAGATGTGCGACTTCATCCTGTCACACAATGAAGAAGTGGCTCGTCAGTCTGCACAACGTCGTACGCACGTAGTAGTTGGTACTCACAGTTAATTCGGCTACCTGCGCGTCGCGCTGTCTTAGGAGGGTTTCTAGCTCAATTTCTCTGGACGTCGGGAGTTCCATAGCGAGCAAGATGAGTGGCACGCCTCCGCCGACGTCGCGGTAGGATGAATTGGAGCAGTCAGTTCCAACTACTCTGCACGCGAATTGCCGAAGCTGAAGCCGACATGTACCACGTGGTCAAGCTCCGTGCCATGTACGGATTAAGAAAGTGTCGCGCTCTGGGGTAACAGCTGGCAATCTTTTGACACTGAGAAATGTGTGCGTTGGATGTTCCACCGAGTACAGGGAGTGAGTCTTGATACAAATACACGTAAAATAGTAAAGATACAGCGGTAGAGTTAAAGAAAATTATGGGTAATCTATGGAGACTTGTACGGGAAGATATAAGAGAGAGATACTGCAGTCGTGGATGGAAAGAGTGCAAAGGAGTGTTGCTGAAGGAGTGTTTGCTGGCAGGGCAGTGTGCGCTGAGACATGATGGAAATGAATTTGAGGAGTCCGTGATGAATGAGGTCCACCATGCGTGGTATGTTCGCCGTACTGGCATATTCGCGTCTCGGATGTGTTGAGTCCGTAATCTGTCATCGGCTGTGTTAGAGGAATACAGCAGGACCAGGATCCGCAGTGCTCACATAGTAGCAGGTCACTGCATATTCATCGCAAGCGGAACAGCCTCCTTAAGCTGTCCTTCAACGATGGCATACTAACGCTCTTCTTCAAACCCTTGCTTATAACCCCAAATTCCGCATCATCGCTCTCTTCAGGCGAGGATCTGAATGCATTTTGCAGATCCTCGTAGAGGTTGTGTGTCTCGCGTGGGGACTGTGACAGAGAGAATATGTTGAAGGCGTGAGGGGCCGAGGGGGCAGTCGGGAAGAAACCGAAGGCCTGCGTTGAGTGGGACATTATGGGCGAGCAGGTTGAGCAATGACGGTGATGGAGAGTGGTATAAGTGTGTGAGAATCAATCAGCCCTGGGTAGTATGAGAGAAATCTCGTGACAGGCAGCAGATAAGCCGATGAGGGGTTAAGTTCTGGTGCGTTTCGCCTGCAGATGAGGGGTGTGATGTTGGACGGAGTCCATTTACTTATGTATCTTTGCTCAACCCCGAGGAAATGGCACACATCGGCAACGTGGAGAAGTCATCTACAAGGACTTCTGCTCGAGCCTCGGTAGCACTGAGTAGCGCATGAAAACGCAGCACGTAAAGCGACTATCCGTTGTACCAAGAAAGGCAAAAGGTCACGGTGGTGAGAGCGATGCAGTCCTATCCTTTTTGGGTACAAGGCAGCTGCAGAACACGGAAGAAGTCTCACGGTGTCCGCATCAAACCTTGATCACACCCGTTTTCGGCGACTTCAGCCTGCGCCGACGCTCCTGTTGCAATGAGTCCGGGCTGGGTTGATAAATATGGGCTGCATGACGGAGAATAATGGTGTGTTTGGTATATCTATGCTCAAATTGTGTATCTCCGGCTGCTTCACATCGGTCCCCACGAGCCTGTTAGTACTACACATTAGAGCACCATAGCGACTCACCGACAGCCGGATTACACGTGTGCAGATAGCGAGGATGGATGTCATGAGAAGTACAACGTTCATATAAGAATATTAGTAGCAACACCTGGGGAGTGCAACCATACAAGTCACTATGGCACCACACGTACAAGATTCTCGTCCTCAAATGCATCTGGAGGAACCTGGCCTTGTACTTGACTTAGTGCACCTTTAAGGACGTATAGAAATGGACCAGATTTAACAGGAGGGGGCGTGGCCTGATAGCCAATCACTAGATCGCACCGCGGGCAGTGAAACCTGTACTGTCGTTCATGCCCATTTTGCCTGTCAAAACATCAGACAACCTTGATGTGAGAAATGCGGATTAAGCTTTGCTCGGGGTAAGACTGACCTTTCGACCAAAACCGGTTCCTTTACCGTCGCGTTCAGCTTGAAGATCCTCGCTTTCCCTGCTTCGCTGTCCTGAGAGCGGATGACTGTTGATCCATCTACCGGCCTCTTTGGAAGACTAGCTAGAGTTTTATCTATGACAAGCTGCCAGGGACGTCAACCATGCC